AACATTTGTGGTGCAGCTATGTGGTATCAGCCATCAAAAACACCCTATCACAGATGATGCCTAAAGCCCTAAGCATCTCTAAACCATATGGGAAATTGTCAAGATCATGGTCCTGCTGGGAAACCCTATAATTCTAAGCTTAATACGGCACCTTGATAGTTTGGGAATCCTCAAAAGAGATCCTAATTTTGGAGAACCGCCCATATGGTTTGGCGATCGGGCTGATAAACAGCTTTTCTTTGTGTGCATGCGTCTGAAGCTTTTGCGGTCAGTAGCTGCCACAAGTCAGGGTTTTGAGGAGTCTTGGGTGTAAAATTTGCGTTGAAAATACCGCGGAGAAGTATTCCGCCGCCTTTCGACAACAGTTCACGAAGAAGCATCCCCGCACAAAGCTTGGAGACGGCTTCCTTTAGTCGCTTGCGGACTCTTGCGCCTCTAAGCTGTTTTCACCATCAGCCACAAGCTCTCAAGCACGAACTCTAGATTTCTAAGCCTTTGCTCTTGGATGCCTTAAACCCCAAATCCTGAACCCTCTTGGGGTTTGCAGTTCCGAGTCTAGTCTGCAGGGGTTGTTCAGGATAAAGTGCATAGGTTAGATGGAGGATGGAGTTCTTTTTCGGGAAGTCAAAGGTAGAGACTAGGCAAGCGTTGGAATCCTGTTTGGGGATTAAAGGACAGAGACTGGGTAAAGGTTAGAGTCCTTTCTTTGGATTCCTTTTGTCTGGGAGTTTTGGGTTGAGGCTTTCGTGTTCAAGCCAAGACATTTGCAGCTTAGTGGAACATGTGCTGTAGGGTTTGGATTTCAGCCACCACATATTACAGCCCAGCTAAAACACAGAACTCTCAACCCTAAACCCTAAACCCTAAACCCTATACCCTAAACCCTAAACCCTCATACCGTCCAAGCCCCAGAACCCTACACTCCAAACATCTCTAAAGCCTGGAGCCCTAGCACCAGCAACGCTCACTCTGAACCTTGGGCCCTACCTGCCCCAAAGTAGGGTTTAGGGTTTAGGGTTTAGGGTAGAACAATCGCCTTTTATAGGTTTTGGGCCATTTTTTACCTACTTTGGGGGGTCTAGGTAGTGCCGCCACCCTGCAACTGAGACTGATTTTGACTGAAGCCACGCGTACACAGCTCAAAGTTCAACCACAGCTAACAACTAGGCCGCAATCCTAAACATTGGACGCATCGACAACCCTAGAGCCAGAAGCCCTAAACCCTAAACCCTAAAGCCCTAAACCCTAAACCCTAAGCCCTAAACCCTAAACCCTAAGCCTACACAATCCCGCCGTCCTTGAACCCTGAAGCCTGGACTCCTCAAAGCGAAACCCTAAACCCCATACCCTGAGCCCGAAACCCTAAACCCTACACCCTGACCCGAAACCCTAAACCCTACACCCTGACCCGAAACCCTAAACCCGAAACCCTGAACCATAAACCCGACACCCTAAAAAAAAAACCACACCCTAACCAAAAACCCTAGACCCTAACCCGAAGCCCTACACCCTGAACTCCCCAACCGGCCTTGTTCTGCCCGGCATTCACCAGCTGGAGCACCGGCCTTCAAAGGGAGCAATCGAAAGCGATGTCAGAGATCAGGTCTCCCCGGGTTTAGGGGTTGAGGATTTAGGGGTTTAAAGGGAACTCCAGAAAGTTGGAATATGGATTAATGGTAGGATCCCCTATAGTTTACCTCAAAAGGGTTACGATAATGATATTCCAACTTTCTGGCTTCTACTGTAGGGGTTTAGGGTTAAGGGTTCAGGGGTCAGGGCTTAGTGTAGAATCTTAGAAGGTCATGATCTAAGGGGTTTAAGGGTTAGAGGGGCTCAAGGGGCTAGGGTTTGGGGCTTCTGTGTCTGAGCTTAGGATCTGGCGCGGTTTGGGGAAAGAAGGCTTAAGGGGATAGGGTTTTGGGCTTTTGCTTCTGAGGGGCTTAGGGTTTCTTGCTCTAGGGGTTTATTTTGAGGAGTTTGGTGTTCTTAGGTTTGGGGTGTAAGTCTACCCAAAGTGTCCGACAATGAAAAGGGCCTTTGTGATTAGAACGGGGATACTTTAAGGGCTTCTTTCAGGGGTCTAGGGAGTTTGTAGCGTTTTGGGTGATGTTTAGCTGCCTTGCTAATGGTACCCACGTCTGTTGTTTATGGCTCTCTCCAGACTTGAAGATGTATTTTTTGAAAAATGGGAGTCTTTGGGGTAATCGTAAGCCTGGCGTACACATGCCGAGGTGCCCTGGTTTTCGGTTCCAGTGTATAGAGTGACAATATTTCCTAGTTCCTACATACATGTGCTGAAACGTTGACCATATAATGAATTATTATGTAGAACGTGCTCCAATATTCTGCTCTATTCATTGAGGACCCCGGATTGCTTTGAGGTTTCAGGCTTTGGGGCGGAGCTCTGTGAGATTCAAGGTTCATTGCGATCGGGCGTGAAAGTCGCTGCGCAGGGATCTATAAATTCGGTCAATCCTCAATCCTAAACCCTAGACGTAAACCCTAAAACCCTCAACTCTGAAAATATAAATCCTCGAACTTTGCACTGCCCTACACCTGAAACGCTAGAGTAGGATCACGGCTTTATTTCCAGGTTTCGTTGCGGCTTCAGTTGAAGGGGTTAGGGTTTACGTTTCATCCGACATCCTAGACCCAGGGTTAGAGGGCGAGCAAAAACGTTCAAGGTGTCTGAAGTCTGAACAACTAGTACTTGATTAGCACTATTGCCTCAGAGCCCCTACATACTCGCACTGTAAGATATCCCTCAAAGGCTGTCCTGATTCCCTACGCCTTCTAGCCTCATGAAGCCCTGCCAAACCCCAAGAAAACCTGCAGTACCACGGAGTGCCCTAATAAGACCCCGTGGAACCCCGAGTAACCCTGTAAGACCCCAATGCAAGCGAGTGGCCACAAGTCGCTTGAATCGGTGTCATCCTCGCTCACTGCTTAGGGCTGTTGAGGTTTAGGGTTTAGGGCTGCGGTTTTTGTTGTTGGTTACCCCAAACAGTTTGGGGTTACGGGATGAGAGTTTGTCGTGGGGCTTTCCAATTCTCGGGCTTGCCGCGAACAATTAGGTAGGGTCATGCCGCAGCACCCCTAAAAGCAACGTATAGTCGCCCGCAAGCCAATGCATGACTGCGTGCATGCATGCTTACATATCAGCATCCATCCATGCATGCATGCACAGCACACCAACAGGGTAACACTTGCTTCAGCTCTCAAGCCCTGCATCTGGAAACCCTTATGAGTCGTTGCAAGCACTCAGAGCAAGGCCCACCCGGAGTTGAGTTGCTTGGGCTACAGGGCTCTGACTTGATAGCTAGTAACAATAGGTGATAATATTCTCCGACTGAGGCCGCTGTGTTAGGCTTCAGACTTTTCAGGGTCTGAGGCTGGGAAAGACTGGGGGCACGGATGAAAGCCCGAACCCTAAACCTGAATCCCAAAGTACCCTGGAACCCCCAGCCATTGACCCCCAAACCCCTACATCCGCGGGCTCGCAAAAATCCAAAAACTCCAAAGCCCAAAAAAACATATATAAACCCTTCTAGGAGCCCCGAAACCCTCGAACCAAACATGCCGGGTGCCTGCGGTGTGTCTGTGGAATTGCTCATCGCGGCAGACGACCTTCAGAGCTCTAGGCTGCTATGGCAGCTTACAGGGCTTTATAGGGTTTGGAGTTTAGAGTCTAGGGCCTAGGGTTTAGGGGTTAGAGTTTATAAACTCCGCACCCTAGACTCTAAACCCTAAACCATAATTAGGGTTTAGAGTTCAGGGTGTGGGGCTTAGGATTCAGGCACTGTAAGATGCCCTGATAGGCGGGTTTGGGGTTTCGGGCTCATGAGGGTGTTAAAGATGCTTTAATAAGTTTGTACAATGGCTTCACAGGGCTATGATGGTTTATGGGTATGGGAGATGGTAGCAATAACACCATGGGACCTTTCAAGAAGCCCAAAGTGAAGCCCAGACAATTTCCTAGCTATGTTCAAACCAAACAGAACCATAGGACCTCCAAAGCACCAAATCCCTGTCAAACCCTCCCACAACTCCTCCAGGTCTCATCAAAATCTAATCTGTCTACTGGTACAACCCTCCCAAAGCCCATCGAACTCAGCGAAGCTCGTTGCGGCAGCTCTTCCGATGCCACCTGCCACGTCCACCGGGGCTTACTGAGGCTCTCCCTTTGGGTGAATCTTCCCTACGTGGTTCACAGGATGTATAAATAAATAGAAAACGCACATACATGTAGAAATATGTGTATATATATATATACACACACACACACACATACGTGTGTACGTATATATACTATGTATGCATATGCTCGGCTTTGGGAAGGCCTTTCATAACAGTTCGAAGGTCTCGCCATCCAACACCTAGTTGCTGAGATTACTGACCTTGATTCGGGTTCGCTTTGGTTAGGGTTTAGGTTTAGGGTCATCGATATACCCTGGACCTACACCCAATATATACCTCGCATGCTCAAAACCCATTCAAACCCGCCCCAGAAAAGAGTATCAATGGTAGCTTTCAGTCGCAGTCACGACTTGCAGAACGAAAACACGAGCAGGCGAATCGAAAATACATGCATGAATAATAGGTACCCGGCGCGACATGATATACACACAGTAGGTTGCAGAAGAATTAACGAATGAAACCGAACGAACTGCAGTTAACATCTAATAACTGCGGACAACTGATGATAGGTAGTGACCAGCAGTCAAGAAGCACAACAGCAAACATACCTACAACCATGAAGGCGTGCATGCATGAATGCTCGTATGTACATACCTGTTACATCTGTGTGTATGCATGCATGCGTGTTGTGTGTATGCATATAAATATTTGTATACATATGTATATATGCGTGTATATATATATATATAATATACACACACGACTGCGTGTGTTTTTAGCCCGAAACCCGTCTCATGGTTGTAGCCCATGCATCAGGATTCTAAGGCTCTTGTCTTCAGCCTTTTTCCCACGAGCAGCGCTCCTCACCACGGGCGGAAGATGAGAATCTTTACACCTCCGTGTTTGAACGCTGCTGCGTGTTCGGAGTCGAAGCTCGCCCCCATGCTATCCTCACCAACAAAGACGTTGTACTTCCCCTGGAGACCGTCGTCAATCCATCTTCTGAGGCACTGCGCCACTCTGCCATAAGTCTTGTAGAGATCTTTAGAGGCACACCTGTAACCGATGAAAGACGCCACTTGCTGCAGCTCCTGCAGGTCCATTCCCTTCTGGAAAGTCACCTGGGTAGTTGTCAAAATTATGGTCCCTTCTTGGGTCCCTATTATAATACGGCACCTATTATTTAGGGTACCCAAAAAGGGACCATAGTTTTGACAACCACCCACCTCCACGCTGGGGGGGACATTGTTGGCAGAAATCCCCGCCTCCCGCACCGCAAGACCCGGAGAGAGCAGAGCAAAGGCGGCGAGACTCCTAAGCTGTTCAGCAACGCACTGGGAAGAAGTATAGCGGAAACCAGAAGAGCAAAATGAAAACAATACATGCAGACATGGAAGATATGTAGAATATGTGTGTGTGTATATATATATATATTATACATATACATATACATATACTTGTATTTATATGCCACTGAACAACCTAGACTCATCGGCGGGAACATGTCCAACCGCGCAGCCACAAGTAACAAGATCTGGCAATCAACAGAAACGCTTTGAGCCAAGAGCTGTACTGCGCCATGCAGTTTAGGGTTTAAGGTTTAGGGTCTTAAGGTTCATGGTTTACGGGTTGCAGTTTTATCTGGGCGCCTTCACCACTACATCGCGTTGTGAGTAATTACATGATATGTAACAGTTAGGTCCTACTTGTCGGGTATCATGGGGAACTAAAGGTTGATCTTTTGAGTTGTACAGGGATTATATAGGGACAATACTACCCAAAAACGGTTAAAGGTTCCAACCTACTCTACTATATACTAGGATGTCAAGACCATCCCAAACCATAACCCCGAACCCCAAACCCTAAACCCTAAGATGGAGTTTCATGCAGGTCAACTATACCGCTCCGGTGACTACTAAAAACACCGTGAAGAGCCCGCAAAGTCCATACGACGGCGTAGGGCTCGAGAATTCAAATATGAGAGCCTGCAAGAAAGTATGTTATGGTAATCAGTTCTAGGTCTTTGTCAGTCTGGCACAAATCAAATCTGTCATTTGTCCCGAGCTGTGCTTGACGTGCGTATGGATGCGAAAACATTTTTATTCTCAGAACTTGCCAAAGCCCTGAACGTGAACCAGCGTTCCGCCGAATGTTGGACTGGGTTTTAGGGCTCGAGGTTCAGGGGTTCGAAAAGCTACTACAGGGGCCTCAATCATTAGCATAGGGTTTTGGTGTATATTAAACTATAAACATACAGATGAAATCCCAGAATAGACATGGAATTTCATACTACCTAGAGGGTCATACCCTACCCCTTTTTTCGGACACCTATTTTTATGGTTTGGTTCTCTTATATACAAAAGTAGGTACCTTAAAAGAGGGGTAGGGTATGACCCTATAGGTACATCACCCCAACACTGCCTTCCGTCACAAGCCTCCACACACCTCGGCCCTACAGTTCTACAACCCCTGAACCCTACATCTTCCAAACCCTTACCCAGAGAGCCCAAGGGTTTAGGGTTTGGGGTTTAGGGTTTTGCCAATACCCCTTCATTAAGGAATATAGCTTAAATCAGAATATGAAGCCCTATTTAATTTAAGCCATATTCCTGAATTAATTAAGGGGTATTGGGCTCTCTCGGTAAGCCCTACGCCCAAAGTCCGAAACCCTATAATCCTACATCCTGGAAACATGCCGGCGTCGCATGATCTGGCCCATGGCATGTTGAAGCTCTTCACCCGCAGCCGCCACGGAGCATCGTGGGTGTTTTAGCGTTTAGGGTTTAGGGTTCAGGGTTTAGGGCTTAGGGTTATTCTTCGGCTCAACCCGGCGACACCGATCAAATTGAATTCTAAACTGACTTTAACCCTGCTGCCGAACCGCCGCCCCTCTTAAAGGCGATGAAGACCATTACAAACCCTACGAAAACCAGAAAATCCCATAAGAGCCGACAGAACCCTTGTGAAACCCTATCCAACTCATATAAGCCGAAAATCCTTGAAAAGCAATGAACCCCAGACCCTATAGACCCTTTAGGGTTTAGGGCTTCGGGTTTAGGGGCTTAGGGTTTAGGCTAAACCCCCCCTCCGTGGCTGCCAAGGAGCAGCAGCTCCATAAAGCGGCCGCTAGAGTCGCGAAGAAGGGAGCCTTCGACTGCTCGTGTAAAGATTAAAAACCTATATTATAGGACCCTAACCATAAAACGTTATTAGATTTAGGGTTTCGGATTTAGGGTATACCTTAACCCCGAAGAACCTAATTTTTTTAAGGACTTCTATAAAGAAATTATAATACGGAGCCCTGAAAAGAAATTATAATAAGGAGCCCTAAGAGGGTAGGTTAATTATTCGGGGTTAAGGTAGTTAACCATCAGAATAAGGCTCCAAAAAGGGTTTCTGAGGGGTTTAGGGGTTTAGGGTTTCGGGTTTAGGATTTAGAGTAGGTTTGTGTTTGGGGGGGGGGTTAAGGTTGCATGTTTTTTCAAGACCTTAACAGTTAGAACAGGTTAGCCGGCATATTCTTTCCATAAACAAGAGAAACAAGGAACCTCCAAAGATACATTAACAATTTGCAGGCTTCTATACCATGCACCGAACCTGTATCATTAAACCCCAATATAGCGTTTAGGATGTGGGCTAGGCTTTAGGGTTTGGGGGTTTCGGTTTGGATTGGCAGGTTAGGGTTTAGAGCTGTGGGTTTGGGGATCTGAGTTTGGGGGGTTTAGGTTTATAATTAGCCAATGTTAGAAAGTCAACTGCACAATGCTTGGAGGTGTAGAACTAAAGGGCGCAAGCCGTCGGCCTCGAAAATCGGGGCCGTTAACAACTGGAATAAGGCACCGAACCCTAAACCCTAAACCCTAAAGGATATGGTATACTTGTAAGGGATACGTGTTCAATCAACAGTAACTACTGAACAAGGCGTGAGCTTGTTCAGCAAATGTCTCGGCGAACTGGGAATCGGTTTGGGGTCTCGGGATTAAGCTTAAAAGTTTAAGACGCGGGGATCGCGGGTGCCTCAAATTCGGGGTTAGGGTGTTCTTTAAGAGCCTTCAAATCCTCTACTCTGTTAAGGCTGCGGCATGCAAGCTTCATTGCTTCAGAGCGATGTTGCACCCCGCACCCTGAGGATTAACTCCACAAAGCTACGGAGCTCTAACATGCCCAATCCTCACACTCTGGGTCAGGGTTTAGGGTTTAGGGTTTAGGGTTTGGGGTTTAGAGGTTCTGGGTTGTCAGTGTTATGGGTCAGAGTTTAGGATTTAGGAACTCAACCAATCTTAATCCCTGAAACCCGACACCCCTAAGACCTCCGAAGCCATACAACCTGCAGTAAACCCTAAAACATCCTCGGCCCTTCGAGACTCCCTCGATTAGACCCTAAATGCCCCTTATTTGGGACCATATACCCCTATTTGAGGGTACAAGGAGGGTCCTGGTAGATTTAAACCTAAAGGACTTCCCACGAAGCCGCGCCTGGAAGTGCTGTTTGCACTTTGCCCTGCGCTGGGGCGGTGTCTTCAAGCTCAGTACTGTACTTGTGTGTTGAGGGTCTAGGGTCCAGGGTTTGGGGCTCTGGGTTTAGGGTCCAGGGTTTGGGTTTGGGGTCCTGGGATAGCGTTTAGGATTACAGGGAACTCCAGAAAGTTGGAATATGCTTTCAGGGCAGGATACCCTATAATTTACCATAGAAGGGTTAGGATAATCATATTCCAACTTTCTGGCTTTTACTTTAAGAGGCTTAGACTTAGGGTCTATAGGAGTCATGACCGGCTGGAAGTCAGGGAAGGTTATATGGCCACTAACTGTTGCGAAAATGGCACGATGCCACTCATATGTAGGAAGAATGGACCCCTAAACTCTAACTCCGGGAATCTGTAATCCTCAACCTAAGCCCTGAACACGAAAATGGACTTCGGAGGGCACTGTCCCTGTAAAGGGATACCAAACACTAAAACAAATCCTAATGCGTAACATGTAAGACCGTGTGCATCATTCTACACTCCGAAAAAATGCCCGAAGCATTGACCGAGAAGCTCTACCCTCCCGAGCCGTTGACCCTACACCCAACAAAGAAAACCTTGCACAGCCCTGAAAACCTAATGTTCTTAATTACCAATTTTGGCAGGTTCTGTTCTATGGTGATGATTAGATTTAGATTGGTGAAGCCTATAATAATGCGACGGTTGATGATATAAATCCTGCACTACCTCAAGGACCCTAAACTATGGGAATTATGGTATTTTCTTTACTATGGTTAATGCAGGATTTATATCATCAACCGTAGTAATCACCCCGAGCCATAGATCTGGCTGGAATCTATCCTGTGCCCCAAAAGCACCGCCAATTTCGATTGCGGCTTGGGATTGAAGGCCCAGCCCTTATCCTCGAGCCTCAAGCAAGAAACCCCAACACCCAAACTCCTGAACCCCAAACCCCGAAACGGCAAACCCTCAAACACCCCAACGCCCTAAACCCATAGATGCTAAACCCTGAAATCATAACCCTGAAACCCCAAACACAAACCTCTGAATCCCCATTACCCGGGACCACGACTCCAGCTTAAGCCCACGTGCTAGATTCTGAAAGCCCAACACCACAACCCTGAAACACCAACATCCAAAAGATCAGCAGAAACACGGCCCTGGTGCCCAGCGTTTAGGTGTTAGCTTTAAACCTAAACCTCAAACCCTATAATAAGGTTTTATAGGGTTTAGAGTTTGGGGGGATTGTGGCTGGGGTCAAATTATAGGGTTTGCGGCCTTGGGTGCCCGGGTGTTTGCCGAAACCCCACACCGTGAAACTCTGAGTAGGGTCTAGCTAGACCCCCCAAGTACCATCTTATCCAGGATACCCAGTAACCTAAGAATAAAAAGGCCTCTCTTTTTGGTATTGGGTAACTTTATAAGGAACCTATGACTACAAAAAGGAATAAGGGTACTACTGGGCATCCTAGTGGAACTCCATTATTACCAGTACTACTATTATTACTATTATTACTATTATTACTATTATTACTATTATTACTATTATGACTATTATGACTATTATGACTATTACTATTATTATTATTATTATTATTACTATTGTTATTTGATTATTTACCATCTTATATACCTCAAGTACCGACTATGAAGGGCCATAAGGGCTCTCTCTACTAAAGGGCCCTTCATTGGGGGGTCCTGGTAGGGTATGGGTTAGAAGGGGCCCCCACCCTGTAATAGTGGTATCATAGGAATATAATAGGGCCCTAATATAATTAATCCTTGTAGTCACTATTACAGGGTGGGGGCAGCTCCTAAGGTATGGGCATTAGAGTTTAGGTTTTAGCAAAACGTGAAACGCCGAGCCGAGCTGATGTTGGGGCGCCTGCGCTACCGTCGAAAGTCTCGACTGCTGTAGGCTGGCCTGTTAGGGTTTAGGGTTTAGGATTTTAGGGGTTTAGGGGTTTAGGGGTTTAGGGTTTAGGGGTTTAGGGTTTAGGGGTTTAGGGGTTTAGGGGTTTAGGGGTTTAGGGGTTTAGGGCTTAGGGTTCTAGGCTGGGGCTACTTACCTCTAACTAAGCCTAAACCACGAATCCAGACAGTCAGCCTTAAAAGTCCCAAGACCGAAGAGTCCGAACATCACATCGTAGCTCCAAACGTGCTTTTGAGACCGGGGCGGTTGTTAAGAAATGCTTTATTAGCTACCGCACCCACAATCGCTGATATGCTAGTTGGGTGGCTGTCAAAATTATGGTCACTTTTTCGTTCCTTAGTATAGTACGGCACCTAATTTTGCGGGCACCCAAAAAGGAACCATAATTTTGACAACTACCCAATCGAAAACAAGCTCCTGAACACGAACACAGGAGAAAGTCAGGTTGGGGACTCCCACTCAGGGACCTCCTAAGCCTAGGGATCAAAGGACTCATATGGGTAGTTGTCAAAATCGTGGCTCCTTTTTGGTACCCTAAATATTAGGTGCCGTATTATGTTAAGGACCCCAAAAAAACCCATAATTTTGACAACCGCCCATATATTACGGCTTTTGGGCCCAGAGATTATACCAGATAAGGTTTTGGGGGCTATTTTGATCCTTAGGGTTAGGGACTCCTAACACCTTTCGCTAGAACCCTATTCGGCTCCCGTATGACGCACATACTGTTTTGTACTGTGACTATGACCAATGATGATTATCATGCCTCTGACTACTCCGCAACCAAGGACCTACTTGTCGGGTATGGGGAACCAAAGCTTAACCTTTTGGGTTATATAGGGATTATATATAGGGATTATACTACCCAAAAAAAGGTTAAAGGTTCCCTACTCTACCACTAGGAGGCAGCATTCCTCAAGTCAGAGTCAGGAAAGGCTTGGATGTTCCTGGCTTCCGGGCTTTTGCAGTCTCTGAGTAACGCTCAGCCCTATGGTCTAGAGTTTAGGGTTTAGCGTGTTTGTTGGGTTTTGGGTTTATAGGGGTTGGGATTATAAGGTTTAGGGATTCTAGGGTTTAGGGCATATGAGGTTTATCGAGTGTATAGGGTATAGGGTTTAGGGTTTATACGGTTTAAGTAGGGCTTTGGGAACGCTACACCCTAAACCCTGCACTTGTACGGGCGCCTGCAACAAAACCGTCGAGGCTGCTAATGCCTCTGTGTCCTGGCCGCAAAGTTAGGGTTTAGGGGTTAAGAGATTTGGGTTTAGGGTTAAAGGTTTAGGGTTTAGAGTTTAGGGTTCAGGCTTTAGGGTTAAGGAATTAGGGTCTGATTCCTTGTGGGGCTCTGGGCATGTGGGCTTTGGCTTTGAGTTTAGGGTTTTGGGCCCGGGCCATTGGTTTCAGGCTTCCGATCTGGGAATAAGGGAATACAGGTTTGGACTCAGTGCTCTGGGGTTCTTGGTCCTACTGGCTCTTGGGATTCTAGGGTTTTGGCGGTGTCTGGCTTTAGGCGAAAGTTGCAAATTGGCAAAAGGGGGTGGGTGTTTTGTTGAGGGTGTAACAGGACCGTATAAGGCTCTAGCAACATAAGGGTCACATACAGGGGGGTCTTCAACTCGGCATATTCGTAAACACGTTTTGAAGGGTCCGTATCATGACGATCCTGTTTTTTGGGGCCTCACCCTAAACCCTAAATACTAAACCCTCAATCCTAAACCCCAAACGGCACCGACAACCGTAAAGTTTAGAAAGTTTAGATTGACGGAACTCGATGGTGCCCTACTCCTGCGGGTGTATGGTCGTGTATTTACAACAAACCCGCGACCCTCGCAACCGTATACCGCACCCGCGAGAGTTAAAACCCTACAATGTAAATCGCAAAACCCTAAACCCCCAAAAAAGCCACCTAAAGCCCTAGAACCCTGATACAATAAACCCTCAGGAGCACTAAACCAACCAGCAAAGTCGTTTCCTCGGCTCTTGCCAAGCACTCCTCGCTGTCGCAGCTGACCTCGGCATCTGTGGGATCTCAGCTGCACTGTGAAGGTTCTCTTAGGGGTCTAGGGTTTAGGGGCCTAGGGGGTTCAGCATTTTGGGCTTATGTTTTAGGGTGATTTCCAGTCTGGGCTTTGGAGTAACCACGGAGAAAACAGTATAGACGTGAATCTCATAATGCTTCCCTTTAATGGTTTACGGTTTAGGGTTTCTTTTAGTAGCAGGTCCCAAAAAACGTATTAGAGTATGGTACTCCAAAGACCAGCTTAAGGGTTCTACGAGACATCTACAAAGGTTTAGGGTCTAACCCTAAACCCGGAATAACCTCCCTTTTTAAGGACCGATGTAAGGAAATCAAAATAAGTAGGAACCCCGCAAAGGTAGGTTCTTCAGGGTCTAGGTAGGGTGTGGGGCTCAGGCCCCTACAACTCATTTGCGCTGTTTAGGGTTTATGGTTGGGTAGCCCCTGAACTCTCGCTGTTGTGGTTTGCTGTTTGGGGGTTAGTGTCTAGTGATACCAGACATGTAGGGGAATTAGAACAATGCTGTTTGTAAGAGGGCGTATATCATAGTACAAGTATACAAGGACTAGGAGGGGATTGCAGCTCGACAGTATATGCTGAATTCTTTGATCGGGGTTCTTCATCAAGGCTTCGGGCAGGTTCCTTAACCGATGGCTTTACAGATCCCCGGCGACAGCATGTCACAGCCACCTTGCATGAATGACACTAAGACAAGCTCAACAGTGACAAACCCTAAGCCCTAAACATGCTGGCCCATCCCACATCCTTTCTTCAGCACTGGAAACACCAGGGGAGGTATCTTCGTGAGTGACCCCACGAGACCTTCAACTAACAATCTTTCGTACGGGAACCTAAACCCCGCCCTAAACCTAAGCCTACACCCTCATGTTGCGGGTTGTCAAAAGTACATTTGATGATATAAATCCTGCATTACCTTAAGGAGCTTAAACTATGGGAATTATGGTATATTCCTTATTATGGGTAATGCAGGATTTACATCATCAACCGTATGTTCCCTTTCTGGGGTCCCTAATATAGTACGGCACCTGGTACCCAAAAAGGGGCCCTAATTTTGACAACTACCCACGTCCTATCCCAAGAACACACCAATCCCGACCCTGAAAAGAGCCGCCTCCCAAAACCAAACACTAGCCTTTACCTTAACCTTGAAGAACCTACCTTTTTAAGGTTCCCTATTATGATTTCCTTATATATGTCCTTAAGAATGTAGGTTCTTCAGGGTTCAAGGAGGGTTTAGGGTTTAGGGTGCGTCTGAGTAGTTAGAAGTTACTTCAGACCAGGCGTTTGAGCAACAGCACCCAGGGCTCAAAGGTACTGCCATTATATGGAGTTAGCCCAAAAGATCATTCTATTTTCTTATCATGGCTTTCAGGCCCTACATACACCCTCTTGCGTATACTACACTATGATTGCATCGAGACCATAAGGGCATACTGTATAGTATCGCGAAGAACTCAGAGCCCTATGTTGCAGAACAGAACCCGAGAAGCGAAATGGTATCTTCTGCGGTTGATGAAGGCAAGATACCACAAGTGTTTCGAGGTTCCGAAACTATCACCTCAAAAATACATAGCTCGGCTCAACCTGGAAACCACAGCCACAACCGCTACGCACAATCCCTCAACTGATAAAACCCTAAAGCTTGAACCGAAAACCCTAAAGCCTAGTCCGAAACACGAATAGGGTTTAGGGTTTAGGGTTTAGGGTTTAGGGCCGAGAACAAACATCCACAAACCGGGAGCGTCTGCCGGAGCCGCTCTTGCGTAAGGCGTTAGGCCTCTCTCGGAGTGCATTTTAGGGTCGCAGCACACGCTTATGGGATGGTTCTCTGAGGGTCTCTCCGTTTAGGGCCAGGTTTCAGGGTAAGTGTTTGGGATTTAGGGCCTGGGGCATTCAGGTTGTGTAGTGTTTTCGGATTTTAGGGTTGAATTATTTGAGGGTTTGAAATCCTTACCTGTGGATCCGACAGCCAAATGTTAAAGATTCATGGTTAAACCTAATACTGATGGCGTCATAACCTCTTCCGTTGTAGTGTTTGCGGTTGTAGGCAGTTTTGGAATGCAAGGACCGCAAGACAGAGTACCCAGAGACTTCAAGATCCCGTGATTAAGGAACATACCTTAAGCTATAGTAGGATCCCTAATATGATTTAAGGCATATTCCTTAATTAAGGGATGTTGGAGTCTCTGAGTAGCGAACGATGACAAACACGGTGTGTGCTTTGCTTAATCTGGGTCTGGAGCCAAGTGGCATCCGCTTTTTCTGTACTTCGTGGCGTTCATCTAGGGCCCCCCAACATCACATACACAAGAATAGGGCTAGGAATATCTCATATAACCCCCTTATCATCAAGCCCAATCAGGTAGGTATGTCCTCATAAAATGCTCATGCTGAATTATGTGCTTTGGGGTCCCTAATCATCATGTGAACCAAGCTTTTAGCAGAGCACGGAGCTTGCACTCGCCAGCTCTTCTGTGCTGTGGCCTGCAGAAGCCCCGGACACGAAACCTGATCCGAAACGGGCGTTGCAGAAAGAAGGGACCCCAATATAAACCCTGAGTTGTCGCAGTGGATCTTGATTACATGGACCGCAATCTGATTCTAAGAACACCCCAAAATGAAGCGCAGGAGTGAATCATCCAAACAGAGATCGGCCCTGAACTCATGGCCGCACCTGCACCCTGAAACTCTAGAAGACTCTAGAACCCTCAACCCAAATTACTGGCCCGCAGAAAAACACAAAATTCCAAACCCTAGCCTAAACCCTAAACACTTCAGCCTGCTTACAAACCTGCGTAGAGCCGAACCCTAATTCTTCCAAACGAGCCCCGCCTGTCAGTGCGATGACTTTCGACAGCACCTGGGCAACTTCGCGGACACTACCAAAAAATCCGGCAGGTACATACAACTACACAAGGTCTGTATGGGTGGGTTGGGATCCGTGCCATCGAGATGTGACGGAACCGGTTGGGGAGAGGGCAAAGAGGCCAGCACCACCTAGCAAGGTCCGAGTCTGAGAGGGACTTGAGGGGCGTTTGGCTTCGTACCCCGAAAGCACCGACATCCCACAAACAACACTGCACACTTAAATTCGAGCCCCCTACACCCTCAATGACTCTCAGCTTGGGATCTTGATCTGTGTAGTTCTCCAGATGGGCGTCCCTTTCCAGGTCCCCAATATAGTACGGCACCATTATAGAAAGGACTCTAGAAGGGACCCCGCCCTAGTTTATGGAACTACCCATAGTAGACTCGGACTCCAAACCCAAAGCTCGAAATCCTAAACCCCTCAAATAACACCCTTATCAAGCCCTACATAACTGTACACACCCTTGTAGTGCCCAAAAACCCAAACTTTAAACCCAACAACCACACAACCCGATACAGGGGCCTGAATGATCAGAGTAGGGTTTGGCAGCAGTACCATACAATATGGTAGAAATACTCCATTGAAGCATACTAAAGGACAGTATTGGTACTTCTTCTTACCCCGATCTTATAACAGAAAGCCCTAAACGCTAAACCCACAACCACCCTTCTAGTCAAGCTTTAAAACAATCCTTAAAGTAACTCCTAAATCCTAAACCCAAGAAGCTAAAGGAAAAACAATGCTTAAAGCAACCCCAACCGGAACCCCATAACTTGAACCCTGAAAGGAACCCCAAAGGGAAACCTAAACCCACGAACCTTAACCCCTAATGGAACCCCAAAGGAACCCATGACAAGCGGCCTTGAAAGCCATGATGACTCTGATCTGCCAGAGACTTTCGAGGCTTCCAAAACTTGTTTTGATAGGGGCTTTAATTGGTAGAATAGGGCTTTGGGGGCCCATTGTAGTATAAATAAAGAGTAATTTAAGGAACCAACAACATATAGTGTTGGTAATTAGTAAGAAAAAATGTTGGAAGGTTGCTTTCCGTCTGATTGTGGGGTCTATAGGGTTTAGGGCTTGAGCGTTTAAATGTTCAGGGGTTTGCGGCTTGGGGGAATAGGGTTTTGGAGGCTTTTGGGTTGTGGGTACAGGGTTTAGCGCGTTCTGCAGGGGCTCTACATGCTACACCTAGGGGGTCTACCGTCTAGATCAGTTTAACATGAGGTGAAGGCATGAGGAGTTTCCAGTAACTACTCGCTTTAGGTTCTTTATACGAGCTTTCGCGGGCTGCTATATTTTCGGAAGTTAGGGCTCGCTTACAGCCTTACTTGGCTTCTGCTCAAGGGGGCGACGATTTTCGTCCTGTTCTCTCTACGCATAGGCTCATAGGCTTTGATGCTGATGGGGCATGCTCAATTTTCGTTTTGTTCTCTCTACTCTTTTGCTTTGATGCTGATGGGACAGATCATGACTCTAGGGCGGCTAAGAGGCCGTTAAGTACTTCGAGAGCTAAGATCCACCTTACGAGCTCTAGACACGCTACCCTGAGGTTTCCTTAGTCTCACGGTATGATATTATACCCAAAACCAAAATGCTGGTTTCCGAAAATGGGGGACCCCAATATAGTACCCTGACGATGCTTATGTAAGGACTTGAAAATATAAGGCCCCACTAATTTCGGTGAAGGCTGTTGGGGTTTAGGATTCAGGGTTTAGGGTTTTCAAGGTTTAGGATTCCTGATTTCGGGTTTAGGGTTCAGTGTTTAGGGTTAGGACTTCGGGCTTCAGCGAGGGCCGCCAAAGTAATGATTTGAGTATCTTAGGCGGTACTTGTAATAAGGAGCCCAAGAAAACACCGGAAATAGTATACAGTGGAAGACAGAAAGTTGGAATATCTTTATCCTCATGCACTGCAGGTAAAGTATAGGGAATCCCAGCACTAATCATCCTAAATCCATGTTCAACCTTTCAGCGGTTCACTAGTATAACTCAGGGGCCTTAATTAGAATAGGGTTTCGGGGGATATTATACCAAAATACATAAAAATGAACCCCACAAACTAGTAGAGTAAGGCTCCTATAGTACTTGCCCGGACCACTTGCATCAAAATTTTGGGGGTCTTAGAGTTTCGGTGGGGAGGGCGCGGGCTCGTGGTCGTAAGGTTTAGGGTTTAAGGGTTTAGGGTTTAGGGTTTATGGCTTTAGTCTTTGGGCTGAGGGTTTTTGGGGTTTCAGAGTTTAGGAAAAGTGTTTAGGGCAAGTTTAGCGATTCGCTTGAGGGTTTGGATGTGGGGGGGTCCAGGATGCAATAGCTGCTGCTCAGCAATGGCACTTTCCGAACTTCGCCCAAAGCCACAACGCCCCCGTCAACCCCAGCTTCCAAGTCCATGAGAGTCCTGGAAACGCCAACACCTCCCTAAACACAACACCCCGAAACCCCAAACTCACCTCAAGCCTTAACGACTGAAACCTAAGACCCTGAACCGTAAAACCTTTGAAGCCCCTGAACGAAGGCTTCAAAAATCTGAGAAGCTAAAAGCACCTAAAACCCTCAAACAAATTTCGAACAAAACATATATACACACACACACACGCACACGCACACACTGGAAAAAAACTCTGAATTCCCATAGGAATAACTGAAATAACCCAGCCCCCCGACCTGTGGATCTGGTCCTCTCTCGCTATCGATATGCCTTCGGGGGTGAGGGCGCTTAAGCAGGGTTTGGGGTTTCATGGGGCTTCGGGAGGCTCTTAGTTTGTAAGGTTTTTTTTAGGATTTTAGGGCTTCTAAGGGATTCTCTAAGAATACAGTAGAAGCCCAAAAGTTGGAAACCCTGTAGCCTCAATCCTGAAGAGTAATGTATAGGGAATCCCAGCACTATTTGGCCTTAATCCGGTTTCCAACTTTTTGGGGTCTACTGTAAGATATTCGGGGGGGGGCAGGGGTACTCTCAGGATTTACGGTGCGTGGATTTTTGGAGTTTAAGGTACAAGGGCTTGGGATTTGTAGGAGTTAGGGTTCTAAGGCTCTCGGGCGTTCTAGGGCTTAGGGATTCTCTAGTTCTTCTCTATGATTCCATAATTACGAGGGTCCTTTCGTGGGTTCCACTGAGAGCTCTACTACTATTTGCTTAAGAACCCCCCAAAAAATAACAGATTATAATCCCTATATTATCCCTATAAGGAATATGTTTTCTATTTTTTAGGGGTTCTTAAGCAAATAGTAGTCTATATGATGATATACCTGGAGCCCTAAGCCCTCGATCGGCCAAGCTTTCGGGGGTTTCGAGCCCGGCATCCCCCCCAAAGCCCCGAAAAGCCTACCTAGACCCTCAAACCCCAGGGATCTAAGGACTCATATATTAAGGCTTTTGGGCCCCAAGACCATACTATATAAGGCTTTTAGGCTATTTTGATCCCTAGGGAAAAGTAGGTAAATACTGGCCCAAAACCTCTAAAAGGCTATTACTCTACGTACTCTTGGGGTCCAGGTATTGACGCTTCAAAAAAAACGCTTGAGGGAGAGCGGGGAAGGAGTATAGAGACTGCCACGGGCTTTTTAAGGAGACGACGATGCGGGATAATATTGAAACTACCCTAGGGGATTACAATAATATAGAGTATAGAGACTGCTATCGGGGTACTGTTTTGAGACGACTATGGATATCCACTCTCCCACTCCTCCTTATGCGCAAGTAAGAAGACTCTGCTCTGAAAATCCCTGCAAACCAGCACACAAAGCAGCGCAGCCCTTTAGGGCGCAGGCGCTGGTTCCTCATCATAGATCCCAAACTCAGCCCAAACTCTATTCCTATTCTAATCATGAATAAATATTCCTATTCTAATCATAAAGGCCCCGAAACTAAGCCAGCCAAGGTGCAACGAATGGGTTCAAGCATCGAAGGGTTTACCAATGCCTCATAAACCCCTGGAGGTCGTTGAGCCAAGCAGCGTAGGCAGTTTGAGCATCTAAGCGTTTAGGGTTTAGGCTTGTTCTAAGGGTGCGATGACCTCCTTTTGTGGTTGATAGGGTGTTAAACGCTTTTTGAGCAGTTTAGGGCTGAGGGTGTACGCAGTCTGAGCATCGTGATTCGTGATTCTTAGTTGACGAGCTTCGGCAAAAAGGCTTTGGGGCTTGGGGCTTAAGCTCCTACTCGTCGGGTATCATGGGGAACTAAAGGTTGCCCTTCTTGGTTATATAGGGATTATATAGGTTAGGGACTGTACTACCCAAAAAAGGCTCAAGGCTACCTGCTCTACTAGTAGGTGCTTCATCGGGAGTGCATTCTGAAAATGGGTCTTGCAAAGCCGAAACCGAAGCCTTACAACGGCATCTTCCGTCCCAAAACTCCTCACTTCGGAAACCCGTAAGCCCAACGTCCTGCAGTCTAAAACCCCCCTAAACCCTAAACCCTGAAAGCCTTGCACTCAAAGCCCTGGGCCTATAGAACCCCTTGCACCGCCACCCTCTTATCCTTTAAAGGGAACCCGGCTATACGGTTGATGATAAAAATCCTGCATGACCTTCAGGAACCTAAACTATGGGAATTATGGCCTATTCCGTATTATGGGTTCTGCAGGGTTTATATCATCAACCGTAGAACCCCATAATACCCTCAAAAGGAACCCTACTACCGAATCCCAAAGCCATGAAACCCAAAAGGGCTCCTCTTCCCCACGCACGCGCGGGAGGCTTCGAGTGTGCAACTGGCGCTCTGCGCCGTAGTCGGCGACTGAGGAGCCCCCACCCTAAGGCTCCATGTACATATGTAGCACTAGACCCAAGAATAACCTAGGAAAAAAAAGGGTGCCCTTTTTGCTTTAAAGGTGCTTATAAGGGAACCTGAACCCCCAAAAATGGAATAAGGGCCTACTCCAGGTCCTAGAGCATAGGTAAGCCTAAACCCTAACGGAGAGTACACTTAGGCTTTTGAAGTACCTATATAGGAACCCCCTTAATGCATAAGTCTTCTACTATATCCGTACATGGAGCCTTAGGGCCAGGTTGCAACGCGTTGATACTACAAATCCTGCAGGACGGCAATGTCTGGGGCCGCAATGTTTAGATCTGTACCTGGGTGTTTCTCTATACGATCAATCTGTGCCGTGTACATACATATAGATATGTATCCACAGCTTATGCACACACTACAGGGGCTGTGAGGCCTGTCGTTGTTCGACTGTGGGGGCAGGGAGGGTTTAGGGTACATCGGCTTCGAGTCTAGAGTATAGGGTTTAGGGCTTTAAAGGGTTTAGGGTTTAGGGTTTAGGGCTTAGGGCTTGAAGGGGTTTAGGGTTTAGGGCTTTAAGGCGTATAGAGTATAGGGTTTAGGGCTTAGGGGATTTAAGGGGTTTAGGGTTTTGGGTTTAGGGTATTTTGGTGCATGGAAAATCTGCATGACTGGCACGGTTTCGGGTATGGGTTACGCTGTTAAAGACTGTTGTAACTCCTGCCTGCTTCGGGAGTGGGAGTTTGACGGTGGAGTGTTTGCAATGTGCGGTTTAATGCTGTTTACGGCGGCTTGTGGGGTCCATTGCAGGATTTGTAATATCAGCAGAAGTAATTACAGAAACGATAAGAGGCAGAATACGAAACTAGCAGCAAAATGAAGAACAGTAGATGAGTCTAGTAGATCTTATCTCAAACTGACCATCATCAGACGAAGCGCCAGACGGAAAGCTAGAAGAACACTCAAAACTGAGCACCGCCGCAAGCGGGCTCTGGAGTTCCGAGCTGAGGCCCGCATGTTTGGCCTCAGGCTCTTTGGGGTTCGGTTTTAGGGTGTAGGGGTTTAGGGTGTATTGTTGAGGGCTTAGGGGTTTAGGATGTAGGGTGCTCTGCACTTGTGAGGGTTTCCGTAGGGTTTTT